ACAACTTTATGGGAAGGCACCAAAGTTTCTCGGAGGACATTTTTTTTTCCCCGACTGTTAGCACCCTCGGCTGCCAACTCTTCTTGGTCCAGTGATTTTGTCGGTCTCGACTGTCCCATAGACACAGAAAACAAGGGTATTTGGTATACCCAGCTTGTTGCCCAAGCAGCATGCACAAGACCTTCAAGTCCCCACACACTTGCCAACCATGGTCTTTATATTTAAGTTCTCGTAGGTTTCCTTCAAGTGTACGGAATGACCTACAGGTATGGAAGCGTAAAAACCACCGTTGTGGAGTAAAACTGCTTTGAGACTTCTTTTTAAAGAATCTATAAAAAGACGCCATTGCTCTGAATCATATTGGATTTTAAATTGACCCATCAGACCTTCGACATCGATGCAATAAACCAACTTGTCTTCCTGGGCAAAGTAAGGAACGAACTCCTTTTCACGATGTCTGAACCATGAAGATGACACTCCTGGCAATAAATTCCTGCTTTTCAGCCTTGATCCAAGTAACTCAGCGGCATCTTTGGGAAGATTCAAGTCTCTTACCAAATCATTCATCTCCTGAGAAAACTATTTTGGTCTTGTACCATCTTCAAAGTCAGAACTTGATTCGTCATCTAGTTCAGGTATGACTTCACCTTCATCAGAGCTAGGTATCTCTTCCAAGGTAGCAGGGTGCTTGGGTACTGGTATATCTGTGCCATGGGGGATGAGACGAATTGCTGAGTGAAGATTGGGGTATGAAATGGAATGTTTCCATTTGGAATTAAACCCTTTCAAATCGCATGAACAAAAGTAACAGTCGTCACTATGGTTCTTTTGCTCTCGCCATACCATAGGAATCCCATAACGGAAAGATTTTTTCTTACCCTTGAACCAGTTTTGGAGGTCCTCAACACACCGTTTGCACACTTTATGAGGCGCCCAAACTTTATTTTGATCTCCAATTTTTAGTCCAAAGTATGCTAAGTATACTTTTTTCACAAAGTCTGTAATATTGTGCTGTTGCTTCAACACTGTATATTCACCACAGATGAAACAAACTGTCTGGCGAATTAATACAGTTTCGCGGAGCCATAACATAATGGTTGAGGAATAACGAGCTATCACGAACTGCGATGAAAAAGTGTGAACAGCCTAGAACCAAAAACCTGATGATGATTCGTGCACAAGTGTGGACTGCAGGAGAGAGTAGCTCTGTGTCTGTACACGAGACATCACAGTGCTGGCCACGCTCCCCTGCACTGACCGGAGCTGCTGCTATCTGCCCTGTGTCTCCCTCCCACTGGATTCTTCAGGAAAGATTAACCCCTTCTACCATTAGAAGCACCGACTCAGGGCTGAGGCTTACACATACAACTTGCTGCTGAGTATCCCACTAGTCAGACATGTCACTCAGAGCAGCACTTGTATTCACCCCCTTTGCAGGGGGGGAGGGGCAGAGATTGTTTACCTGCAAATAACAACAAAGGGCCAGAAGAGAACTGGGGTAATGAGGAAATAGAATTGTTTTTCCCTAAAACTTGCTTAGCTTATGTATATATTGTTGACCATCAGATTTACAGTGCTATATTTTTTTTACATAACTCGGACAATCCCTTTAAGGTTTTTTTTGGCATTTAATATCTTAAATGCACTTATGTGAATTATTAGTAATTTGGACTTTAAATTTGGTTAAAAACCCATAATATAAAAAAAAATACCAAAAATTAAAAAAAATTTGATAAATTTGAAGGCAATTTTGCATTTTGTGGCAAATCATGACGTCTAGGAGTTTTTTCAATATTTTATTTGTTTTCAGCACACCAAAATACATGGTAATTAGCTGAAAATAATCAAACAGCTTTTTAGTCGCAGACCTGTACTATCAGTCAGTTTCAAAAGGTATTAATGCTTTTTGGGTCGCTGTACACATATGTAAGTAGATTGATAGTTCTGACTTCACTAGCTGCATGCATTTTCTTGGTCTTGGACCCTTTGCCACTTATTGTGCAGCTCTTTGAGCCCCTGCAGACCACAGTCTGTTGTCTGTATGCTTGCTCAGGCCAAGGAAGGTCAATTATTATTTAGACTGGGTTTTAGTAGTTAAATGGCTTGTTTTATTTCTTTCCCATTATCTTACCTTTTTCTCTGCAATCCTTCCCTTTTTACTTTTTCTATTTTTTTCCTTATGATTTTTTTACAATGAACCTGACAGAATGAAGTACAAACGTGGAAGCGTTGATTTGTAAAGGGGCTGTAATATCAGTGATCTCTAGCAGTCTCTGTAATGTGTCTCCGGTCTGTGACTCACCAGTCTCCAACAACACCTATAGCATGTCTGCAGTCTTTGACTATTACTTTTAGCATGCACATAGTCTTTCACCATCTCCTGTTGCCTTTTTGCAATGTTTGAAAGCTTTTTGTAGTATTACATTCACTTCCTATTATGTGCAGCTCTTTGCTGATGTCATGGGCAACACATGAGGACCCTTGTGCCAAGAACTGGTCCAACCACTGTTCTAAGACCATCACTGGTCTAAGAATACTAAAGTATTTAAGACAGACAACAGCTAGGCAACTAGTATTTTTAGAGGGAAGCCAGAAATGGCAGCCCCATATTTCTTTATTGAAGCACATGTAAACCCAGGGAGAACCTTTCAAAACTGGACCAGACAGAATGTGAGGTAGTTGAGCTTAGCAACAAATAAGCGTCTGCAATTTTCAAAGCTTAACTAAGCAAGCTAAAATAGAACCTGCTTTTTTTGTTAATAAATCCTTTAATATATTTAACCCTTGGTTACATTTCAGTGTTGATAATTTCATGGCAGCCTCTTTGTAGTCAATTCTTGTTCACATGCACTTCAGCAATGGCTGCATATAATTTTTTAAAGGGCAGGTTTTCTGGCGGTGACAACAGTGGACAATGATTATTTAATGTGCATCAATGCGGTTTCCATTGTGTGAGCATGTGACTTTTTTGCATAAAATACAGTTTTCCGCTTTTTCATTAATGTTTGCATCTCAGTGCTGCCGAATATCCTCCAGATCCTAAAAAGCCCCTTCCCGTCTACATGCACTCACGCCAGTGTTGCCTGTAGTGTTGCTCTGAGCCAGCCTTCTGTAGCAATGGTGGATGACACTGCATTGTGAGAAGCCCTCTACACAGGAAGTGAAGGATTTACTGAAGGATAGCCAGATATGCTTTTAAAGTGATACTAAAAGATTTTTTTTTATTTTCAATAACAAACATGTCATACTTGCCTGCACTGTTTTTGCACAGAGCAGCCCCAATCCAGCGGTTCTCAAGGTCCCACACCGATGCTCCTGGCTCCTTCCCCCTGCTGAGTGCCCCCAGAGCAAGCAGCTTGTGCATGCTTGCTCCCAAGCTGCCTCTGTGTGTCCATAAGTCCCTGCCCCCTCTTCACTGGCTGTGAAGGAGAGCAGCGGGAGCCAACGCCTTTTGCTGCTGTGTCTCACCCAATGAGGAGGGAGAGACATGGGGAAGCGGCTGCTCTCATACACATCACAGGATCGAGCTCTGGCCAATATTAGGGGGAATTGAGGGGGGGATATGCACAGAAGATTTTTTACCTTCATGCATAGAATGCATGAAGGTAAAAAGACCTTCAGGTGGTTGTAAAGGCATTCTATGAATGAAGGTAAAAAAAAAAAAAAAAAAAAACTGTGCAGCAGTGCCCCCAGCCTTCTCAATACTTACTTGAGATCCAGTAATGTGCATGACAGCCTCGGCTGTCCTGGATCTCTGCCCCCTCATTGGCTGAGGCAGCAAGTGGAAGCCATTGGCTTCTGCTGCCGTCAATCACAGCCAGTTAAGCCAATGAGGAGAGAAAGGGGGCAAGGTCAAGCCACGGCTCCGTGTATGAATGAACACACAAAGCAGCAGGTGCCCCCAAAGCAAGCTGCTTGCTATGAGGGCATCCAACAGAAAGAAGGAGCCAGGAGAGCCTGCGGAGGACCCGAGAAGAAGTTCCAGGCTGCTCTGCGCAAAACCACTACACAGAGCAGGTAAGTAGACATGTTTATTATCCAGCAAAAAAAAAAAAAAAAAGAACCTTCAGTATTGCTTTCAGCCTTCAGACCCACTTTAAGGAAAGCTTCAGATTTAAATGAATTGAAAAACTGCTTTTGAAATTTCTCTATTGTGATAAAAGAGAAGTATGGTCAAAGCTCTTTTGGCCATACCTTTCATGTGGGTTACAGGAGTGCATTTAGTTCTGCTCTCCTGTGACTAAGAATCAGCCATCAGCGGACTAAAGATTGCTGTCAGCCGACATCACAGAGGAGCTTCAGGATCTGGATGTATCCCAACAATAATGTTGGGATCCACCCAGATGCCTTACAGGCAAGCTGGCTCAGCCTCTCAGCATGCCATTGAGAGCCTGAGCCAGAAGCTCCTACTCCCTACCCTGCCCGGCAGTCCAGTGAGTGCTGGAGGGGCAGAGCAGAGAGCGGTGACTGATAGTCACTCTGTGCTCAGAGCAGACCTGAGAACTAAGCGATCAGTGGTTACACGATTGCTCAGTTCTTGGCTTTCAGATATTAGGAGACATCTTGCAGCATGGGATTGATGCTGCAGCAGATCAGTAAATATGTTTGTTTATTTTTGGTTTTATATTCCCGCATTTGTCCTTTAACCACTAGCCTACCGGGCACTTATACCCCCTTTCTGCCCAGGCCAATTTCCAGCTTTCAGCACTGTCACACTTTGAATGACAATTGCGCGGTCATGCAACACTGTACCCATATGAAATTTTTATCATTTTTTTGAGACAGATAGAGCTTTCTTTTGGTGGTAATTAATCACCTCTGGGATTTTTATTTTTTCTTAAACCAAAAACCACTGAAAATTTTGAAAAAAAATTCTTAGTTTTTGTTATACAATTTTTTAAATAAGTGATTTTTCTCCTTCACTGATGTGCGCTAATGAGGCTGCAGTGATGGGCACTGATAGGTGGCACTGATGGACACTGATAGGTGGCACTGATGGGCACTGATGAGGAGGCACTGGTAGGTTGCACTGATGGGCATTGACAGGCATCACTGATGGGCACTGAAAGGAAGCACTGATACATGACACTGATATATGGCACTTATAGGTGGCACTGATGCGCACTGATAGGCAACACTGACTGGCACTGATTGGCAATGATAGGTGGCACTGATATGTGGCATTGATGGGCACTGGCACGTGGCACTGATGGGCACTGACAGGTGGCACTTCTGGGCCACACTGATCATCAGGGCACACTGATCATCAGTGCCCTGATGATCAGTGTACATGTCCCCTCCGCGGAAAGCCGATTACCGGCTCTCCTCTCGAGCTGTCAGCGCGACAGCTTGAGAGGAGAGAAATGCCGATAACCGGCATTTCCGTGTTTACATGTGATTGGACACAGCTGATCACATGACCGAGCCGACATCTTCAGCTCTTTCCATGATCCACTGTGTCCGAGGGACATAGCGCACCAGCGATCGCCGCGCTGCGCGCTCCCTGAGCCGCGCATGCGCAGTGAGAATGGTAGGACGTCATATGACGTCCTATCAGAACGAGAGAACCACCTTGCGCCCGTCATTGTACTATAGGGCGGGCGGAAGGTGGTTAAAGCTTATATAAGATTTTAGTAATTGGGTTTACGCATACAGTATAAATGGCAGCAGAAAGGCATTAGCATTGTGACTTTTTACCCTCATGAGGAAACAACCTGCACAGATTATGCTTTCTCCCACAATCAAAAACCATTAAACACTATTAAAGCGGATCTTCAAGTATGATCTTAAATTCATACTTAAATTTGTCAAGCTTGTAGTATGCAAAGTTCATACCTGAAGACACCAACAGTCACTGTAGTAGCCATCATTACGACAGTGATCACTGCGATCTTCTGGGTTCTGTACTGCACCAATGCACAGTGACCCGGGAGGAAGGGGACTGATTGCTCACTCAGCACCACTGGCATTCACAAAACAACTTGTAGGTTATGACTTCTTGTATATTGAATGAGTACAGAGGAGGGGTGGTGATGTCAGTTCATTGCTTCCCTCTGTTTTCAAAACCACTCACATTATGCCATACACCTGTCTGTGTCACCACCATGTATTTTCTTGATCAGGTGCAATTTACAGGGATGGAAATGATGGTTTCTAGTAATTTGATGCCCATGGATCCAGACTTTTGGGAGACCATGTATAAGTTAAGGATTTTTATGTACATACATTTTTTCAAAATATAAATCTGTCATGTCCAACAAAGCAGGTCAGTGGATGACTTGTCATTTGACAGAAAAATGAAAAATTGGGGTTCAGTGCAGTGTGACTTAAAAATGGTTTCGGGCCAAGGCACTGTTCATAGCCTGTGTCTAAAATAAAGTGCCCTGTCCAGACACACAAGAACTGTGCTCATACTAGTAATGTTAAATCATATACAGGTGCATCTCAATAAATTAGAATATCATCAAAAAGTTAATTTATTTCAGTAATTAAATTCAAAAAGTGAAACTCATATTATATTGATTCATTACACACAGTGATATATTGCAAGCATTTATTTCTTTTAATTTTGATGATTATGGCTTACAGCTAGTGAACACCCAAAATTCAGCATCTCAGAAAATTAGAGTACCACATAAGACCAATAAAGAAATGATTTTTAATACAGAAATATTGGCTTACTGAAAAGTATGTCCATGTACGGTATAGTATGCATTTAACACTTGGTCGGGACTCCTTTTGTACAAATTACTGCCTCAATGTGGCGTGGCATGGAGGCGATCAGCCTGTGGCACTGCTAAGGTGATATGGAAGCTCAGTTTGCTTTGGATAGCGGCCTCTAGCATTGTTGGGGTCTGGTGTCTCTCATCTTCCTCTTAACAGCCCACAGATTCTCGATAGGGTTTAGGTCAGGCGAGTTTGCTGGCTAATCAAGCAAAGTGATACTATGTTCATTAAACCAGGTATTGGTACTTTTGGCAGTGTGGGCAGGTGCCAAGTTCTGATGGAAAATGAAATCGTCAAATCCATGAAGCTGGTCAGCAGAAGGAAGCATGAAGTGCTCTAGAATTTCCTGGTAGAGGGCTGCGCTGACTTTGGACTTGATAAAACACAGTGGACCAACATCAGCAGATGACATGGCTCCCCAAATCATCACTGACTGTGGAAACTTCACACTGGACTTCATGCAGCTTGGATTCTGTGCCTCTCCACTCTTCCTCCAGACTCTGGGACCTTGATTTACAAATTAAAGGCAAAATTTACTTTCACCCGAAAAGAGTACTTTGGAACACTGAGCAACAGTCCATTCCTTTTTCTCCTTAGCCCAGATAAGATGTTTCTGATGTTGTCTCAGGTTCAGGAGTGGCTTGAAACAAGGAAGGCAACAGTTGTAGCCCATGTCCTGGATATGTCTGTGTGTGGTGGCTCTTGAAGCACTGACACCAGTCGTAGTCAACTCCATGTTAATCTCCACCAAATTCTTGAGTGGCCTTTGCTCCACAATCCTATAAAACCTATTGGTTATCCCTGTTGCTCATGCACCTTTTTCTGACACACTTTTTCCTTCCACTCAACTTTCCATCAATGTGCTTGCATACAGCACTATGTGATCAGCAAGCTTCTTTAGCATTGACCTTGTGAAGGGTGTCAACTGTCAAGTCAGCAGTCTTCCCCACGATTGTGTAATCTACTGAACCAGACTGAGAGACCATTTAAAGGCTCAGGAAACCTTTACAGGTATTTTGAGTTAATTAGTTGATTAGAGTGTGCCACCATGAGTCTACAGTATTGAACTTTTTTTTACAATATTCTAATTTTCTGAGATACTGAATTCTGGGTTTTCACTAGCTGTAAGCCATAATCATCAAAATTTCACATTTTGAATTGAATTGCTGAAATTAACTTTTTGATGATATACTAACTTATTGAGATGCACATGTACTTACAGTAGCTGGACATAAAAGGTTCACATTAAAGTACCTCAACAGCTTGTCTATGCACACTGGGTGATGCTGTGCTTTGCTAGATTTACGCTCTGCCCTGACTATTCCCACAGTTTATGCATACGGGGGAGCCGCAGACTCCAACATGTTTGGGGCACCTTGGGTTGTATAATCCATTTTAAACTTTAAAGCTTTACTCCAAGGACTTTTTTAAACACTCCGTTGGACTGCCTGCACTGGTTGCTAAAATGAGAGAGAGAGAGAGAGAGAGCAGAGCAGAGCAGCGCAGCTAAAATTATATACAGCTTCAATCATCACTATATGACTCAATCTTTGCCAAAGCAATGCATTGGGCCCTTTAAGTTCAGAATTACTACCAAACCAAAATTAACCCTTTTGTGCTTTCTGATTTCATTACCACTGATGAGACACCCCTACACCTAGAAGGGTGCTGGAGCCTTAATATCGGAGACAACTCAGAGACCAAATGTGCACCATTTCCCACTGGCCCTCATTTTGAAAAAAAAAAAAAAAAAAAAAAAAAAGGAAGAGGACAGCTGTGCTGCAAAGCCTCTGCCAAATATCTGCAGCACAAAAGTGAACAGGAATCTGCAGTAAACAAAGTCTCAAAAATTCTAGCTGAATCGCCAGGGTCTTTTTCTTATGAAAAGCTGCACTATGATTTCCATGTATTTTCACTAGAATGTGCTCTTGCATGCATCAGGGCTGTAAAGTATGTCTTTAGCAAACACACAGATATGATTTTAATTCCCCTACAAGTCTATACTCCATCTAATGTCACTGAACTGTAGTCTTAGGAAAGGCAGGCAAGCAGCTTGTACCTCTCATGTAACCTTGACCCAGTCATACGTCTAATAGATGTCACAGCAAACAAATGTGGGGAAGCAGCGGAGAGCAGGGTAGAGGCTCAATCTCAGACAAATGAATCCATCACTGGGAAATAAAAGCAGGCTGTTTGCTCTCGTGCTTTACCCAGGGTGCCCTTGTCCAAACCGGCTGCTGTTCTCCTGTCAGCATCTGAGGACGGATGGCAAGCACAAAGCACTTACGTATTCCAGTCACCATGGACTGTCATACATTATCGGCATCTGGGTATTTGCAATTTAAAAAGCAACAACACACACAGTTGAAGAAAAAGTAAATTATTTGGTTTTATTTATTTTGATTTTATTTTTCTTTTGTTTCCCATCAACCCCACCCCCTCCCAGACAGCAACTCCATTATATGTTCATTGCATTTTAACCCAACGCATACTGTAACCTTAACGCAGAGCAATTTCAGAATAAAAACAAATCCCGTGCTGTAAAAATATAATTATTTGTGATCTCAACCAGCACAATGTAGTACAGGGCTAGGTACAGTCGCAGAATGCTGCAGGATAAGTTTAATTTACTGAAGTTCACTTGGAGTGTAGAGCTGGAAAGACACATCATAATAGTATACCCTATAATACATAATAATCAAGTGGTCAATGGAACCCAATTAGCAACCCTCTATAAACAAAACAGCCCCAGGGTGGAATGACCCTTCAAGCACTACAAAGCAATATTTTACATCTAACCTGATCATATAATTAAAAAACAAACGACTACTGTTTGTGACGCCCTAATGATTCACATAGGCACATACAGTACATGTAGAAAAAAGCATTAAGAATTCTGCAGACACCTTTAGTAAAGAGATCAGCAGCACAGTCATTCAACAAAGGATACAAAGATGTGAAAACAGTATTTTATTAAGAGAAAATTGTATTTGATCATACACAGTGCTTTTTCAAACTAAATGTCATACATTTAGAATTTGCATCTACTTTAAGAGACCTTTACAATTACAACCCATAAAAAGCTTTTTTTTTAAGATCAGAATTCTTTGCTATATACACTGCCTGGTTGGTGTTGCTCCAATCACTCCACATCTAAGTGTGTATGGCCATCAGTAGACACGTAAATGGAAAATATGTAAGACTGATACAAAGTCGGCTGCCAAGTCTGTGCATTTAGCACAGTATGGACCTAGAGAGCTCAGGGAAATGGATAAGAAGTTGTGCGAACATTCTTGTCCCTTTCAATATGTATGCACTTGTAAAAGAACAAAGACCCAATCTCTCTGCATATCTGCAGCATCTGCACTGTTATCACCATACTGCATACATTGCCCTGTGCTCACCTGGAAGAGAAACCACTCCAAAGGCATTTTGTAGTACAAAAAGATGAAAAGCCCTTCAGAACTTGAACGCTGCACCTGCTTCAAAGGCACATGAAGTATGTGGAACACTAGAATGGGGAATCTCAGAAGTGCATTTGGGTCAATAAACACTGACCTGTTCTTCATTTCCCCTTCAAGCTCTTACACTATTCCCTGATGCCAATGGGCTACAGCAAAAGATCAATATAATTACACAACACAAAGTTATAAAATTTGAAAACGTCAGATGATATTAGTCAAGCATTAGTCAAAAAGATGATTTTGGAAAAGGATTGTTCTCCATCACACTTATGTGGTGAAAAGAGCAAGAGTCATTTTTTTCTATGTATAGCTGATGCAGACACACAGAACCACTGCCTGGAAAAAGGTCCATCTAATGTTATCCATATTGATAGACTTTTTTCAAAGGAGATTTAAAAGTTTTCATAATTTAGTGAAGATTTCTATTAAAGGATGCTAAAATCATTCAAATATAAGGTGTATAGCTTACATTCCTATCCTGGGTTCAAAAAGTAAACTTGTCAAAAAAAGAAACAAGGAATTGTAATTGTTGACCTCTCCATCTATAAAAAAAAAAAAAAAAAAAGTCTGGCTGCCTTGCTGACCCTCTTGCCTTGAGAAGGACCCACGCATACTTGGTAATGAAAAAAGCAAGAGCCAGCAGGAAAAAAATAATTTCAGCCGATCAGGAAAGACTGAACAGACAGACTTTGAAACAACTTTTGCACAAAGCTTTCACAGCTGCTATCTAGGGATTGCTGGGGAGCTGTGACATGCAAGTCAAATTTATTTTGCCATCTATGTCCCATTGCAGATATTTCCCTTCACTTCCTGTTCCATAGCCAAACAGGAATTGAGATTTGAAATTGCAAATAAAGCAATCCCTTTGGGACCTCCAGATCACCAGAACTAGTGTCCCCATTGGAAGATTTCCCTTATATTACTTTTCCAGCAACAACCCAAAATTTGGGATTTTCTTTTACTTTCATTGATAATGGTAAACAGGACTAAGAGTGTGAATCTCCCTAATGGGGACACAGCAATAAAAAGTGACAGGTGATCTTATCTCTCTACACTCTATCCAAAACTAAACAAAGTTTTGCCTTTAGTTATACTTTAAGCAGAACTCCAGGCAAAAAAAAACCTGTGCCTGCATTATGTTTTTGGATCTGCTTTTAAGACACAACTGAATACTCCAGGTATGGACATGGCCACATCAATTAGATTCCCACCTGATCGTTCTGTGGGAAATAAAAAAAAAAATAATAATACATTTTTCAATTAATCTCAATGTCCTTTACCTGATAAAACAGGCCCCATGAACGGTGCCCACACATTCAACCATCGTATAATATCTAAAGGGCCAATGAAGAAATCTTTTGCTATAAGTGTGCATGTAATGCTTAGTGGCAATACTTTGGTTAAATATGCTCTTACGTGAAATGTGAATGACACTGAAGATGGATTAGACGTTTAATGCAAGTCGCTTTATTTTAAATATTTTAGGCTTTCATATCGAACTGGGCAAGACACAGCAAACTGCGACACATGCAGGAACAGCGCATGTATTATCTACAGGTAAGAGGAAGACATTTCAAACTTGGCGAGCCTTGAATATGCCCAACAATGATTGTAATGTGCAGCTAAGCAATAAAAATAGTTTCATAAACTGCAAAGTCAGTTATTTTGTTTTCCAAGGAAGTATGTTTAATTAACTTCATAACATCACTAAATCATTCATCAAGTTGCAGAGATCCATGATGTGGCTAATGCAAACTAACCATAGAATGTGAATATTGATTAAACATTTATTCGGCAGCTTTGATAGCTAGCATTAGGCTTGTCTGTTATAGTTAAATCAGTATAGATTGTATATCACTAGAATTCGTTTCAGTCATAAACTGCTGACCCATAAACAATGGATGGCATATTTACTTTTTATTGAGAATGGTACATTCTTAAATTCTTGCACAGATATGCATTTTCAAACTACAAGCAGTGACATAACTACACCCATAACAGCCCAAGCTCCTGATATGGGATCTGGGAGTAAGCCCCATTAAGAAAGTTGTTGAGGCATATTAAAAAAAACAAGACAAAAAAAAAAAAAACAAAAACCCATATGCAGTCCATGAACACCATTCCATAACGCTAAACTAATTGGATTTAAAAAAAATAGGCAATTATGCTCTTCCCATACATGTTGGCCATTTGTACATGAAGAGAAGCCTGCCCCAAATGCTCCTGTTTTCATAGCTCCATCTTGTCCTCTTCCCAAAGACTGATCAGCTGTTAGTATGAGCGCCCCCTAGTGGTATATGAGTGTTGTCCTTTTGAGCCCCACACAGGCACAGCAATATTTTTTTTGTTGCCGCATCTTACGTCAATACTAGCAGCACTCCTCCCAATTTCTACTACAGTCTAACCATTCTAATTTAACCCCATATGCCTAAGACAGTGTTTCTGAGGCTCCTCAACTAACACCTCAAAAGATAGCTGAGGTTTGTAGTTCTTCAAAAAAAAAAAAAAAAGTAAGAATTTTGGAATACAAAAAAAAAACCTTCCTAGTGTATAGTATTTAGAATCTGTACTACGTCCCTGAGATCTGGTAAAAAGAACTTTTGAGTTATTGAGGACAGAATACTTAGCAGAGAAAAATAACTGCTGATCTTCCCTTGATAACTTATATGCAGAGTATTGGACCCTATTACTGCAGAGACTATATAGGCAGATCTCTTGCTGGCCAACATTGAGAAAATCAGACCTTATGTTAAAGCAGATGTAAACGGAAAACTTTTCATTTTGGAGGAAGGTTCATTTAAGGGAAGGTTATATTGCTTGTCAGATTTTTTTTCTTTGCTATGTCCGTTTAGGGAGCTTTCCCTTCAATTCCTGTGCCATAGCCAAAACAGGAAGTAAGAGAAAATCCCTGCAAATTAGTAAAATCCCTTGGGCCACCCTCCAGGTTACAAGAAATAGTGTGCTCATTGGAAGATTTCCCCTCTATTACTTATCTGAGGACAGCCCATGATTTGGGATTTTCCTTTACTTTCATGATAATGGTAAACAGGACAGAATGATTGTGAATGTCCCTAATGGGAACACAGACAGCAAAAAAAAAAAAAAAACATTGGCTGTAATCCCTCTCCACTCTATCCAAAACTTAAATAAAAAAAAAAAAGTATTTCCTTTAGTTATTTCTTTAACATCTATGAATATATTGTCACAGTTGGCACTGATAGATTTCACCAGAGGCCCCATCAAAATTTTGCAATGGGGCCCCATGACTGTATTTACGCCCCTGGCTGCTGGTAAGTAAAGTGAAGAGCCTCACACTCATGTGCTGGTACACCCTGGATAAAAACAAAGGAAGACTGCTGCACCCACTCACTAAGTGTGCTCTCAGTTAAAATGTATATAAACCAAGAAAGTGTAGTGTGCTAACTCCTCATCCAGACATATAAATGAAATTAAAAAATCCTCCAGTAATCTCATGCAAGATAAATCCACACTCCAATAAAAGTCTAACTCCCAAATCACAGAATGTCCAAATTAGTGCATTTAGAAATTACTTTCCAGAAGATGTGCTTGTGCTCAAGATACTCTCCCTGCTCACCTGTAAGTTTGACCTTCAAATTATACTTCTGTAAAAACGCATTTGACCTATTATAATTTGTTCTGGAAAGTGATTGTTATACGCACTAATTTGGACATTCTATGATTTGGGAGTTGGACTTTTATTGGAGTGTGGATTTATCTTGCATGGGATTACTGGAGATTTTTTTAATTTCATTTATATGTCTGGATGAGGAGTTAGCGCATTACACATCCTTGGTTTATGTAACTAAAGTGCTTGGAAGATACAATGGTACATGAGTTTTTTTTATGCGCATAATAGCCTGAGATTTATGTGTGTATTGTATGCCACAGGTTTAGAACCTACGTCAGGTTTTCATCATTGTCTGTGATGCTAGCTGACGAATTTTCAACATCCAACACATCCCCCCTGTGTTATTTGGTTCAACCCACTGGCTCCTACAAAACTACAGGACACAATAGTGGCTAGGGGCTAGCAAGTTAAAACACATATCCCAGAAGGGAGCCAGAAAAAAACAACACATCTTGAGGTGTGTCAAATGTTGAAGGTTCCACAGCCACTATAGCACTTTTAAACCGCAACGTTCATCAGTATAGATGGTGGTGTGCGAAAAGTATTAGGCTTTTATTCTACCAACAGCCTCCCATAGAAAACTGCCCCAGGTTTTAGTGCTGTGTTCTCCCTTTTGAGGAGAGATTTCTCTTCACTCTATGTTTGATTACTTAGGCAGGAACATAAGAGTTTGAGATAACCTGATCACGTCCCACTTAGGAAAAAAAAAATACTAACCTACCACCACAATTCAGATCAATGAAAATGAGATTATCTGCTCAAGGTTACTGAATTCTAAGCCTTGCTTTTAGCAAAAAGCAGGGCGCTGAGGTTAATACCAAGCGAAAAAAGACCTTTATTAAAAGTAGCACACTTGCATATCAGAATTCACCAATCCACTAGTGGATAATGACACAGCAGGTTGAAACAGCAGATCCGATCTGCTGAAGATACACAGAGCCAATAAATGGCCACCAAACATGCAGCAGCAGGGGCTCCATGGGCCAGCAAATGGTGTGGATAAAAAGCATTATGCCTGCCCCCCCCCCAACATCTCCTAAGGATTTGTGACATCACACTGCGGCTGGAGACTCCACCAGCTTTTTATTTTATTCATTTCAGGTACTTAAATAGAGCTGTCAATTTATGCAGTGCTTTACACACACACACACATATAATACTTAGTGTCCAAAATTATTCAACCCCCAATGCTGTAAACATATAAGATTGTATTGAGACGTTGTAACTACCCAAATGCAACTAAAATGACATCAATTGTTTATGTAATACAGTAGTAAATGGTTCTTATGTGGTTTCTTCATTGCCACAATTATTCAACCCCTTAAAGACTACCACTCTGAAGAACAGAGGTTCATACAGGTGCTTTCCATCAGGTATTGAAAACACCTGTGGATGTCACCGAGCAGCAATCAAGCATAATAAGCACCAATTAGGCAGCTTTAAAATGACTGTGATACTCAGCTCCTTCTAGACATTTACTGGTGGTTACAAACATGGTGAAGGCAAGAGAATGGTCCAGGAAGACAAGAGAAGAGGTGATTTCTCTTCACAGGAAGGGCAATGGCTATAAGAAGATTGCAAAGATGTTAAACATACCAAGAGACACCTTAGGAAGCATCATTCGCAAATTCAAGGCAAAGGGCACTGTTGAAACGCTACCTGGTCGTGGCAGAAAGAAGATGCTGACTTCGACTGCTGTGCGCTACCTGAAGCGTAGAGTGGAGAGAAGTCCCCCGTGTGACTGCTGAGGAACTGAGAAAAGATTTGTCAGATGTGGGTACAGAAGTTTCAGCCCAGACAATAAGACGCACACTGCGTAATGAAGGCCTCCGTGCCAGAACTCCCAGGCGTACCCCCCTTGCTGTCTCCAAAGAATAAGAAGAGTCGACTGCAGTATGCCAAAAGCCATGTGGACAAACCACAAAAGTTGTGGGATAGTGTTCTGTGGACTGATGAAACAAAATTAGAACTGTTTGGGCCCTGAATGGATCAAAGCTATGTTTGGAGGAGGAAGAACAAGGCCTATGATGAAAAGAACACCTTGCCTACTGTGAAGCATGGTGGAGGGTCAATCATGCTTTGGGGCTGTTTTGCTTCTGCAGGTACAGGGAAGCTTCAGCGTGTGCAAGGTACCATGAATTCTCTTCAGTACCAGGAGATATTGGATGATGGAAACGTGATGCAGTCCGTCACACACCTGAGGCTTGGGAGACATGGACCTTTCAACAGGACAATGATCCCAAGCATACCTCCAAGTCCACTAGAGCATGGTTGCAGAGGAAAGGCTGGAACATTTTGGAGTGGCCATCGCTCACCAGACTTAAATCCGATTGAGAACCTCTGGTGGGACTTAAAGAAAGCAGTTGCAGTGCGCAAGCCTAAGAATGTGACTGAACTGGAGGCCTTTGCCCATGAAGAGAATGGGCGAAGATACCCGTAGATCGCTGCACACTTGTGTCAAGCTATGCTTCACGTTTAAAAGCTGTTATAACTGTAAAAGGATGCTGTACTAAGTACTAAGATTGAATGTCACTTGGGGGTTGAATAAAACTGATAATGCTGTGATAGAAAAGACATTTGTGGTTATTTCATTATAACAATTTGTCTGACCTACAAGTGCCTCTTTAATGTAAATGTAAGCAAGATGAGCTCAAAAGCAATGTCACTGGCCAAAACACTCAATTTCAGTGGGGGTTGAATAATTTTGGACACAACTGTATAACATTCACATCAGTCCCTAACCCTCAAGGAGTGTTCAATCTAAGGACCCTAACTCACATTCATATGTGCACATACTAGGGCCAATTTAGACAGGATACATTTAATCTACCTGCGTGTCTTTGGAGTATGGGAGGAAACTGGAGTACCCAGAGGAAACCCACACAAGCACAGGGAGAACATGCAAACT